ACTTTCATGTACAATAGTATGCTTTTTGTTTAAATCTCGAGATGGACAAAAAACTCTTATAGGTATAACGATCCTCCTCCACTCATCTTTAATTAGTTCAGTCTCCCGCCATATTGAATGAGCTCTATCCTTTTTGTGAGGGAATGAAAAGATCAAAAAGCAGAAACGTCTGGATCTGTCAGTTGACATTTAATGCATTTACAAGCGTCAAACATGCGTTGAATCGATCAAAAATTGAAACCTAAAAAACCGGCAGAGCACCTCGGAGTGACCCCTAGATTTGATCCACTTTCAATAGGTTTGTTACATGTGGTACGTATGTCAACTTTGCAAGGTTTAGGCCGAATCGCTTAGCAGTTATCGTGTTCACGGAAAGACAGACAGACGGACATCGTGGACTCGCCTATAAAGCTTGCGACACTTTGCTCTGCCACTTAATAAAGTCAGAGCGACGTTCAGGGTTTTTTAGGGTTGTTGGATCTTTAAAAACTGCTCTACTAAGTTAGAACATTCATTTAACAACAAAAGCATAATTAGCTGGTCCAAGTCTTTTTAAAGTGAATACAAATGTAACTTGAATGAAATCATAGCTACCGATCAAATTTTTCCTTTTTGATAAAATGTTTATAAAAGTGTTGAATCAGCAAAGCATTTAACGTAAGCCACTTGAGGTTTTCAAATTAAGAATCTGATAAAGAAGGTATATACACTGTGGCGATCCATGGGTGGATCTAAAACAGTTGTATTTAGTTTACATGGTGATAATTTGAATATGTCATTTAATCAAATATAAAAAATGTTATTAGTGTTATTTAATTCTATTCTAAACGCTGAATAGTGACCACAACACTATACAGAGTGGCTAATAAAGATGGACCCAAAGCGCTGGTATGAAAACGGTTGGAGATATCGGTTTGAAAGTTTTAGGATGTGTTGGTGCATATTCTAGGATGAAAAGAAAATTGTCCCGTATGGTTTTTTGACACATACAACAAGAATTGTTATCTTTTTTTGAGCTCCACTACATTTTTCTCAGTTTTAGTTTATTACAAATTGTATTACATCCTCTTTCTAGAATTTTTAATCGATAAACAGCCTAGAAAACAGTCTTTGAATTATTTGCATAATTAGGTTTCAACTCAAGCGTATTTGTTCAATATTAGTAGTTGTTTAATAATTTTTGCGTAACCGTATTTATCCTATTGCATATTCGTAATGAATGTAAAATAAGGTTCCCAACAATGTGGCGGCGAAAGGCGGCCCTGTCAAAAAACCATACGGGACAGAAATTTTCTTTTCATGCTAGAATATGCATAAACACATCTTATTTAAGTCCTTAAACTTTCAAAACCGATATCTCCAACCAAAGCTTTCACACCAGCGCTTTGGTTCCACTTGGGTCGAATATTTCAGTAACTCCAGAACAAATAAGGCATTTAATTTTGTTTATTTTATAGCATATGTTAAATTGACATTATAATAGGTTTGAATGAGTAGGCTAATATCGTGAGGGTAGATAAAGTGATCACTATAACCGCAAGAGTAGTTAAAGTCAAACAGATGATTATGCATCCTAATGACTTCTGTCATTCTTATTTCAAATGGGATACGGAGCACGATATAAAATGGCGTTCAGAACTTAAGTTTCTTATTTTTGACGTTTAAATTAAATTCAGAATTGTCAGAAGCTTTACAATGATTTATGATTTATATGATTTCTGCTATAAAATAAAGTTTTGTATGATACACGACGATGAAGAGAAACTAACCATCTCATGAAAGTTAATTGACTAAATGGTTAAAATATCCCTTTATCGTCTTATATAGTAAACTAAGCTATGAATGAACCTCGGAATGAACCAATGAAGCAAAGATAAAGTTCGCAAAGCGGGGAAGGGAGCCACTGGAAATAACGGAACTATACAGGATACTTAAAGTTCGAAAGAAATGATACGCTTTTGTAGGAATTGACAATATTACGACCGTTGCCGATGTATAAATCGTGGTATGAGGGGAGGAACGGATACCGTTCTTTCAAGTTTATGTTCAGAATATTCGAAATATTACCTCATATACAAATAATATTAAAAATAAACTGAGAATATTCTGTAAGTTTATTCTCAGAATATCCCAAGTGATATATATGCATCAAGTTCTAAGAATATTGAACATAAATGGAGAATATTCTTTTAAGTTTTTTCTCACAATATCTGACATATTCCCATTCGTATATTCCTATTATGCAAATGTTGTACAAAGCATGTATCTACGGTGCTATATATTAAGAAGTAGACATAGGGATTTATGTGCATTGTTTTTCCCTATGTTTACTTTTAAAAGACAAAATCTCTTCTGAAGGGCGTCTAATTTTATGCATCCAAAATAACTTTTTAAAACAAATAAACATCTGGCTGTCATATTAATTATTTTGAATATTGCTTGGGCTCCTTAAATTGTTAGCGGCACTATACCAATTGACAATATAAACTTTTTCTTCAGTTGAATACATCGCACACGATCGAAAATAAAAATACGGAAGCCAAAGCAACAATATTCAAATTAATTCATGTGACAGCCACATCTTTGTTTTAAGAAGGTATTTTGGTTGCATAAAATTAGGTGTCCTTCAGAAGAGATTTTTGTCTTCTGGAAGTAGACATACATACATAAATCCCTATGTCTACTTCTTAATAAATAGCACTGTATATACATTTAATCATTTAAAAATGGGGTTTTTAATTGGGGTACAAAAATACTCCACGCGGCTAACCGTGTGCCATTTATTAGCGCGAGTAATGGAGTGCTAATGAAGGACTAACTGAAGGATTATCACTTGTGAATGGTTGTCCAGGCTTAGGGGTGGACATGACTATTTATAGATAACTTTTTAATGTAGAAAGTCAGTTAAATGCATTTGCAGCAATAAAAATGACCTGCACGAACTGAAGATTAACACTTTGTACAGGCTTAGGGGTGAATGTGACACCTGTTGACTAACTTTTTAATTAAACATTGTATTTTTAGCGCATTTCCACAAAAATAAAAAAAAATGCGCTATTGTGGCCACTTTGTCCGTCCGTCCGTCCGTCCGCTCGTTTTGCGACGCTACTAGTTCTTTATCTTAAGAGCTATTGTTCTACTTTTTTCGCTATTTGGTTCGTTATGGTGTCGAGTCTTGTACCAAGGAAGGAATTTTTTCTGTACCGCTTACAAAAAAAGTTATTGTAAAAAAACAAAAAACCGTTTTTTACATGTTCCATAATTTTACACTTTTGCCGTTTATTAACGATCCTAGAGATCGTTTATAATTTTGCATTGCTATCTGTCGTCTGCCTGTTGGTCTGTCCGTCTGTTCCTTTGTCTGTCTGTCCATCTATCTGTCCGTGTGAACGATAACTTTGTTTAGAAATGTTAGATCACTTTTACATCTCCGTTAGTTATGAACTGAATTGCATGAAATTCAATATGGGCATAGCTTTAGCCATATAATACGCAATGCCAAAAGTTGAATCGAATCGATTCAAAATTCACAGTGCCCTTTTCGCATCTCGACCATTTATAAACCGAATTGCAAACTTTTTTACTTATAAAAGTATTTGAATGAAATTTGATACATAGGCACTTGGAATAAAGGATAATCAAACGCCAATTTCAAAATTTGGTTTTGCGCATGCGCAGTGCCAACTTTTTTATTTGCGGAAGAATTTACACGAAATTTGATACATAGGCACTTGGGATAAAGGAAAATCAAACGCCAATTTCAAAATTTGGTTTTGCGCATGCGCAGTGCCAACTTTTTTATTTATGGAAGAATTTAAACGAAATTTGATACATAGGCACTTGGGATAAAGGAAAATCAAACGCCAATTTCAAAATTTGGTTTTGCGCATGCGCAGTGCCAACTATTTTATTTATGGAAGAATTTAAATGAAATTTGATACATAGGCACTTGGAATAAAGGAAAATCTAGCGCCAGTTTCAAAATTTTATTTTGCGCATGCGCAGTGCCAACTTTTTTATCTATGGCACCATTTAAGTGAAGTTTGATACTTAGGCGTTTGGAACAAAGGAAAATCTAACATTAGTTTCAAAATTTAGGTTTGCGCATGCGCAGTTCCAACTTTCTTATTTAGAAAAGCATTGAAATGAATTTCTTCTCATAAACTGAAATTGAAGTAGCACGTCAAAAATGGATTGCCCATGTGCAACGCTATCTTTCATATTTGTGGCCGGATTTTTACGATTTCAATAGGAGTTGCATCTTACAATAATGGGAAATGAATGCAAGTGGAAATGCGCTTTATGTAAATCGTTTACGATTACTTTTTAACTTGTTAAAAGTGCCCCTGCTGAAGGTCTTAAGTTGTTCTATACTCCGGTTACCTTACGAATTAGGAAAACTGCAGGAAAACCTAATTCGGAGTAGTACAGAACCTAATACTGAAAATACGAAAGCTCCACGGTGGATATTCTGTTAAAGAGGTCGATTTATAAAGGTCCTCGGCACGCATAAACTATGTCTACCTACTTTAAGCTCCTTTACGAGAATCCAAAAATGCGATGAAGGTAGACTTCATGTATTTGAAGCACATTTTTAAATATACAGTGTGTAATGTATGAGTACATACAAAATTTAGTGGTAGAGGAAACCAAGGCCAAGTATTTCTTCCAAAAAATTCAATAAAAGCGTTAGTCCTATATCATTCTTTATTAACGAGTGACCAAGCTCGTTCATGATTTTGGACTTTCTGTCCATCCGTCCGTCTGTGTACGGAACTCGCGAATGGTTTCGAATTTTCGAAGTCTGTTTTCAGTATCTAATAGGTAGACAATGGTCAAGGGACTTATTAATTAAATTTTGGTCATTTCTGTCCGTCCGTCTGTGTTTGTCGCTTGTTGGGTACATATATTGGTTTGAAACAGCTTATTTATTGATATTGTAAAAGTGGTTGCTTTGAAACATTAGACCACTTTCCTGATCTTAGTCAAAATTAACTTACCTGCTGCGTAATTGCGAGAAGTTGTTCTGATTGTGTTAGCCGGTAACACTTGCAATTTGGTGGCGGACTTGAGCATCTTCTGAGCGTCTGCTATCGTTCCTTCCCATTCCTCTAACGACGTATCGTTAATTGCTAATAACTGATCGCCGACGTTAAGCGCGCCGCAACGATCCCCCGTCGACGCAGGCACCACCCGCTCAATATAAATGCCGGCCGTCATGATCTCGTCAGTCTCAAAATTACAATAATTTGTTAGGATTAGGCCCAATTCCTCGTCGTGCCTCTCGATTTCGACCAGCAGCGGACCGGTTGCATATTTCACCGATTCCATTATGCTCACGTCGTACTCGATAGTTAAAGTTGTTAGTGGAAGCTTTGCGGAATTTTCGCGTAGAAGTTGTTGAGCCTCGAGTAAAGTTTTGTTCGTTAGGGAGTGATTGTCCACCTTTAGCAGCCTGTCCCCGACCCTGATGAAGCCGCTTCTGAAATACCAGTTTAAAAAAAAAGTCAATTTAGTCTGATTTAGAAAATTATACCTATGTGCTGGCCCATTCGGTCTAACGTGTGTGATTACGAGCGATCGGCTAAGATGCGGCTGATCTTGTGTCACGCCACCCCTCAGCGTTATCCCTAACGACCCATTGACCCTTTCTAATGTCACTTCGGTAACTTTAGACGTGACACACAAGGAATTTTGCGAAGCTGCAAAAAAACGCCTATTAGACTGGGCAAAAGCACAGACGGCGTTTTTTCCTTACCGTAATTTGGCAGGGAGTATTCAATTTCGAAGACGGCATCGTCACTAACGTTGTCCAGGAGGGAGTTTACTTCCTCGGGACGCATTCGGCTTGTATTAATACCATTTAAACTGTGGATGCGATCACCGGGTACCAGTAAATCGCTGGCTAATGCTACCGAACCGGGTCGTAAAGAGGCAATGCTTGGACATGCTTCCAATTCCGAATTTCCTTTAACAAAAAAAAACTAGTTAGGTACACTCGCATAAATTAAGAATAATCATAATTTAAGCTTTGTGCAGCATTATTCCAATCTCATGAACGGTTTCTTTCTCTAAGTTAAAACACCGTCCAAGATCTCTGTCTCATCAGTTTGAACTAGCAGACATCAGACATCTTCCCATCAAATAAAGTATCTCTATCTGTATGTGTTTGTTCCTTGCAATTGCAACCCATTTGGTTTAACTGCATTCTGCAGTACTGAGCTTTCAAGATTTATTGCGGGAGGATTTTCCAGCCAAAAATTCGAGAAAGAAACGGCTATGAGACCGTGACTGTGCTGCAGGGCCAATAAAAGAATATAATGAAAGCTTATTTGTACGGTATAAACGCAACGACCTTCTTTCCCGTTCACAATTTAGTTAAAAGGGCTTAGGAAAAAAGGTGCACCAAATTAAGTTACACGCGAAACCTGCGTCTCCATAAACCGACTCGGTCTCCCAAAGGAACGCGGAATTACAACCGTTTAATCTCGTTATCTGTTGGTATGTAGCAGCCATATTAACTTCGATAACTAACAGTTGCTTCAACACATATACATTTTTGGAATCCTAAATTCCGTCGAATGCAGTCAGCGTGGAATGGATAATAGGCGACGTTGCATTCAATTATCTACGACGACGTCGAGGAACGTTCCCTTTACAGAAGGAATTTACGTTGCTATTTCCTACGGAAAATGCATATAAGTGAAATTACGACACCATTCCACAGCTCCGGAAACGTGAAAAGACTCTGACGGCGTACATTATAATTAATATGGAAACCGAGGACGACTGTTCTATTTTTCTTCAAGTAAACTGTGTTGATAAATACGCGCATGAAATGCCGGCACTTTAACCACGTTATTCCGGTTTTGCATTTTAACGCGAGAAAATAATTTACACATTACGTGCCCGCTCTCGAATGAGCAGGATTATGTAATTAGTTGTTATTTTTCAATTCACCAATGCTGGGAAAGAATTGTGCTGGCGTAGGTTAGAAATGATCATCAATATTCATTCGGGTGTGAATAAACATCCCTTAGCCCAATTGGCTCTAGTGAAGATAGGGGTGGACGTTGATTATTCAAATTTTTTGAGAGATGTTGGATCAAGGGTTAGGGAATCAATTGAATCGTGGTGTACCTCATGCAAAAGGTAAAAGTCGTTTTGATTAATCGAGTAGTGAGTGAGAGTAGTGCGGGGGTTATAGGTTTCAACCTTGCATTTTGTGATAACTTTATGAAACTTTCAGAGGATGTTCTAGACACCTTAAGGTTCAATTTCAGCTATGCCGTCACCCCCGCAACCCCGGACGGCACTTGCTATAGCGGGTTTCTTAAGTGCAAGGTAGCATTTCAATACCCTCTCGGTGCAGGGCACGTCGGACTTGGCACAGCTGCATATTTGTGTGCAACCTTTCTTAAGAGAGGCGGTAAGTAGGCGAATAGATGAATTTACAATTGAATCCATATTCAACAAACAAACTTAATCTACATACATTCGCAGGACATATATGGGGACATTGCCTCCTGGCGCAACAGCAACTTCCGGATCCATGTGATTGGGGTTGGAGAAACTCGAGTGAAGATCAAGAATGGGAGCCTGTCTGGACTTTAAAACCTCCAGTTCCAGAAGCTTTTGTAATCTTAGTAAAATGTGGATGTAAGAAAGGTTGCACACAAAGATGCAGCTTTGTCAAGTCCGATGTGACCTGCACCGAATTGTGCGACTGCGGAGGCGAGTGTTCTCAAGATAGGGCTCAATAATTTTAGTGCCGTAGATATTGTTAACTTTCCTTTCAGCATTGTAATGTCTCAATAAATACTTTAGAGCATAGTATAATATTCAATAGAGCAGCCAAAAGAGGTCTCCGTCACGATTTTACTGTCCGCACTAGGGAGTGCAATACCGGGATTGCGGGATCCCGAAATACCGGGATCCCGCAGCATTTTTGCGAGATTAATCCCGCACATAAATCGAGGGATTTGCGGGACTGAGGAATTTGTCGACCAAGGGGACGACTCTGTTTACTTTGTTAATAAAACTGATAACGGCGAATTATTTTTTAAATAATTGTTAAACTTTTTTCGTTAAAAATGTACTATGATTTTAGAGGCACTTTAGAAGACTTTTTGTGCTTTACAGGTAAGTTTTTTTTGAGTTCTAAGTTAGGCCGAAGGTACTTTTTTGTTAAATATTGTGATAATTAGCGATTTATTTTAATACAGAAGTTAACCGCACAGAATTGCTTATTTGCCAATTTATTTAAAGTTTTGCGAGATCCCGCAAATACCGGGATCCCGCGGGATTAACAACTAACAATCCCGCAAATACCGGGATTGAGATTTTGCTGCGGGATTGCATTCCCTAGTTCGCACTGTTAAAAGCGCCTTAAAAATAGGCAAACCACGTAAAATACCCTAAATAAATTCTCCCTGGGTATTTGACAATTCCCTTCAACCTTCCTAGATGTAAGAAAATACAAAACAAACCCTGGACATATATTTTTGACCCATTTTATGGGCGGGTATTGAAATCCTACCTTGCGCTTAAGAAACCCGCTATAGCAAGTGCCGTCTGGGGTTGCGGGGGTGGCGGCATAGCTGAAATTGAACCTTAGGGTGTCTAGAACATCCTCTGAAACTTTCATAAAGTTATGACAAAATGCAAGGTTGAAACCTATTTTGGCTGTTAACCCCTGCACTAGAGGGCGAGCTAGCTTTACTAGTCATTTTCGCACAATTACTCGTAGTTTTACTTAGTCAACACTTAAAAACAAGTTTCAACTGGCGCCACTTTTGAATCAGCTGACGCCACTATCGTTGATGAGTTATGGATCAAAAATCTATAGTAGAAAGATGAGCTTTGCGAAAATACTCCGGTCAAATAGCACGCCACCTCCCGGACTATAAAAGATTAACCCTGGTACCCGCTACCATGATACGGGTACCGGTTTGTATTTACGTTGTCAATTGATTTGAGATTGATTTTGAGATTTCTGAGGGTATAACCACTAGGTAGTTCACAGTTTCGATTTCCCAATAAAGGATTATAGTGGAATAGTATTTGTAAACCGTGCCTGAAATAGAGGTCGTCTTGTCTGCGTCGAGGTGACTCGGTACCCGCAAAGTTAGAAGGCTTGAGAAATAAGCGGTATTTCAGTTATTACCGTAGTTCTGGTTTGATTCGTAGGGCAGTATTTAAGCAACGAATCAAAGATGTCCGATCTTACTTGTCGGGGAACCCCCGTAACATCTAAAGTGGTCATATAGGTGAGATGAGTTTTCTGGGCAGGTATTTGGGCGCACACTTTTCCTTAATTTTCGGTGTCCATCTTCAATTCAATTCTTTTTCTTCGTAAGCAGCATCGATGCATACGTAGATTGGGATTCTAATTGCCATCTTCCGAATATATTCATCCCTGGCGATTGAATTCAATATTTTGGGAATTCCGAAGTGATAATTTAGATGGGATTTGCCTGTGCTCCAATGCGTTTTACCCCTTTTTTACTAGAGTACCGCCATTTTGACTTCAGTTACTTATCGTGTACTTTCTTTTCTTCTTTTTATTTTCAGCTGTAATTTCCATCGACAATCATTTACGAGCAGCCCTCTTATTGAAGGGGTAGGTATCAGGGTTTGTATCAGATGACCATCTAAGTTTTCGTTACGTACAGTTTTTACTTCAGAACCCTGGGTTAAATTCACCGTCACCTACGATTGCCGACGCCCTTGGCTTACCTCAACATAGCTTACCTCGATAGCGAGCGGCCATTTTGCTGCCAAACCATTATCAGAAATAGGGCACAGGGTGCACTAGGCGAGCTCGAATACGCAATCACGTGTTACAGGTCCATTTTTACTTTATTTTTACTTTTTTTTTTCAAATCGGCATTTATATAGCTATTACCGTGGAATTTAATAAAAAAAATTTATTTTGACTTTTAGGTTAGGAATTTGTTTATTTTATTTTGAATTGCGTATCATAGGCGTACCCATTTCATTAAATCTCTTCTTTTGATTCTTGCACTATTCTTACGATTGTATCTTCCTTTTCACTCCCTAAACGCTTCTTCTTTCATTACTGTTTTCAAAAAATTAATGTGAAAGGAAATTTGGGAGAAAAGAAAGAATCCAGCATTACGGCTCCAGTTGCTCTCGGTGGGATGGGTGGTTGGACGATACTAGAAAAAAACTGCTCGGAGAATTTAGGCGCCCCTAATTATCGTTAAATTCAGCCGTACAGGAAAAACTAGAAACCTGCTCCTGGTGATATGGAAATGCAAGACGAATAACGAGGAGAAAATTGAGGAAAGTAGCGAAATAGCCTTGGTCGTCCACTTTAGTATGTCGCTGAGTGGAGCTTGAATTTCGGCAAAGATAAGTCATGGACGTCAACACAAAACTGTACATGTCTTGTGCGAGGCGCAGGTAGCGTTGCTGGAGCCGCTCCATCACTATCCGCAGATCGTCGAGATGATGTTCCTCCCATGAGTGACAGAGAAGATAGTGATGGTATGTTTAAACGAGTATCGTAATCACATCCCATATATTTCACAATCAAACATCCTCAAGAACGGGTTATATCCCGGTGTATAGGTGAGAAGAACGTTCTCGATGGTTGTTCTGGTACTCCTTTAGGCCCCACAAACTCTAACCGAAGCAAACCTTTCGTTTGATCAACGCTCATCATCTCTACCTCTTCCAGAGCGTCTTTTGGATAATTGATTTATTTCTTAAAAGATACGGCGAAAGTGAAGTGTCTACTTTTAGCGGATTAATGTAATTCAACGATTTTTGTGCATCAAAATTCTCACCTAAATGTTCAGATAGTGTGCCCCTATAGCAGACTCATGCTAATATGAAGGAAAAAGAACGATAGCAATCTAATCGGGCGAGGAACTACATTTGCTTAATTTTACGAGCGAGAGCAGTGCGAAACGCTAAAATGTATAGCGAAAGTATCCTCCACGGTACTAAACATTAAGGGTAGAATCGATTTTTTCAGCACATAAAAGCAGAAGAATTTAGGCCTCCTTTTCCAATAAAGATGTAATTGATATCGCGCGCAGTTATTTAGTTTTAGAGCTTTAGTTAACTTCCAAAAACTTCCTTGCGCCCTGTTAAAATACAAGCGCGCTGAAAATTGAACACGCTCGTTTATGGCGGCGAATGTGTTATTCTCCGCCGAAAAGTTTCGTTTTGTAACAGCTCCATTTGTTTATAATAAGATTTCGGATTATGCAAATGCGAATATAAATTCTCCAATCAAGCCTTACGTTCCGACACCAAATTTTCCATTCTCCGACCCGAACATAATCGTTAAACTGAAGAAGATATTATAAACAAACTCAATCAGGTGCGTGCAAAACACGGGCAACTTTAAAGATAACGACATACAAACATCGTAAACCGCTATATCTTTATTCTCCATTTTATTTGCGTGCGTAGTTTAATGCCGTTAGTTTACTTATATGAGCTTTAAACCTTATCTCTATATTTGCGCCGTCCGTCATGTAATATTGTAAGCAGAAATGAAAATTATAAGTCAATTTTGGGGAAGAAAGCTAGCGTTTATTAAAATTAAACGAATTCCGGAACATTTCCAGCACGAAAGAAACTTCATTATGTGCCCTATGGATGCATTACATGCGGACCATTTATAACATTTTTATTTCTTCAAAAGTACTCGAACGTGAATTGAACAGGTGCTTAATTGGATTTCTTTGCGATCCTCTCTGAACTCGTTAGTTGTACACAGTTCGTAGCGCTTTACATAATGGTTGAGATGAGAAACGTCCTGTGCAGAGAAACATAAACAATTAATTTCTTCACGCAACTTGGTTGAAAGTAACATCATAATAGAGTTTCCGTCAGTGAGGTCTCTTAGTCTTAAACGAAAATTTGGGTATATAAAAACAACCCCACTGTTAACAAACTTTTATCGGTTCCAAACTGAAATATTGTCCTAAAAGTGTACATACAAATGTATAGTTGTGATATTCAATTGTGAGATCTTTCATGACCGCGTTTCTTTGCAACTACCATGGGGCCGTTCAACTATTTTTTTTAAATTAGAAAGAATTCTTCTGACTATTCTTTTATCGACTTGATGGCGCCTCGATGGCGGCCGCTGGCACTCCTATGTGGATTTATAGAATATTCGATACATCGAATACTTTTTATAAGTGAAAATATTGCCGACAGCAAAAAAAAGCACGTATACGTTTTGATATTGGCCTAAGGACATGAAATAAACCTAAGGTAGCACTAAGGTTCCTAACAATAACATAAATGGTTATTAGGAGACCACGTAGGAGTGTTTTGGTAAATATTACCCACGTAAGAAGGGTGGAATTTTAGACGTCGTATTCCAGATATGGTATTAATTTCTCTCTCAAACTCTGCGAAAGTATAAATGCGCCTCATTTGTTTGTAATAATACTTTCGTACAACTCCCTTCGGAAATGAAATGGTTTAGCAAAGTATTTCAGCGTGAAATTTTTGTTCATTTGTCGACAAATACCGCTGAAAGCAACTCGATCACTTTCATTTTGCTTTCATGCATTAAAATGTGTTTTGATTGCTGACTATAAAAAATAAAACCAAAAACCGTTAGTGGAAAGGTTTTTGTTTTGTTTTCAGGATATCTAGAAATTTTTGTAGTTTACATTTGTAACACGTCAAATTTAACAACTCTGTTTGGATGATTTTATCGCGTTTTGCTAAATTACACGATAAAAAATCTGTTTGTTTCATAATGCACAATTATAGAATCATATAACTTCCGTAAGTCTCACTCCGATATTCTGCGCCAATTGTATAACCCAAGAACGCCATCGCGTTTACCAAGAAAACGTCGTTAACTTATTTCTAATCTTATTCGTTATTTTACGAGAAAGAAATAATGACGGTCCACTATTACAAGTCGCAGCAGTAACAGAGGTGCGAGTGGTTACTTTAGTAATATAAGAATTCGTATACGTAACAAGTTTTATTTCACAGAGTTGCGGATTCAGAACCTCTAGAAAATTCAAAATAAACGAGGTAATGTAAAAAAAAATGCGTTAGCAATGTTGTTAATTTCACACAAGCAGCGAATCGGAGCTCCATCTACGACACGATTTAACACAGTAAGTTACAACGCAAGTTGAATGTGGAGAGACCTTTATGTCAACTGTGCAAAGTTTATATTAAATTCATATTTGTGTAGATATTATATGCAGTTTCTGTTTGTACTCGTACTTTAGAGCAACATCTTCGCCTTCAATCCCTTTTGCAAGTTCTAAAAGAGAAATATGTAATGGACCAAACGTTTCTTTAGAACAGTTGTAGCGATATTGGTTCCTCCATCAAAAAGATAATCCAAGAAAGTGTTTAATTATGTTTTTCAAGATTCTTAAATATCGGCATTCGTCAGGATAGATTAAAGCCACTTTTGTTTTATGTTCTTCCTGGGGTTACCCAATACTGCACATCAAGAGTCCATAGTATGTGTACCTCGTAGTAGCACATTCCCGGACTCCTCCGGCTTAACACCTCGGCCAACAATTTAGACTGTCGCCTGGGAATGTATCGATTTTATTACTAGATACACAATCTACTATTTTCTGAAACCACTTAAGAAACAACTACTTTCGTCTTTAAAAAGTGTGAAGAAGCTGTGATTTTCCTCTCTAGTGAGGAAAGTAAAAAACAATTGCTGCGTTAATCTTAATAATGACATTTAAAATTGAAATGAAACATACCCGAATCTAGATTGCTAAGTGTCAAACTTTATTATTGTATACGATAATTTTTCAATTTCGATTGTAGTTTCAGAAAAAATAATTATGCGTAAAACTTGAGAAGAAAGTGTTCTCTAGTTGTATAAATAACTAATTTCATGTCTATTTTATGCCAGAGAAAATTTTAGTTTCCATAGCAGAGGTAGATCAGAGACTACTTTTCCTACCGCCTGCCACTTTTCCGGCCACACCTTTCACATTGCTAATAAGGGCCGTTTGCACATACAAATTTGAGCGGAGCTTAGCTTAAGCGTAGTTTAAAATCCATGGTAACGATTATTGAGACAATGGTTGCCATGGATTTTCAGCTACGCTTAAGCTAAGCTCCGCTTAAATTTGTCGGTGCAAACGGCCAGTAATGTCTATAATGACTCCTATTATCAGTGACAGATTGACATTAATGAAACAGTTATTTACATAAAGTCAGGAAAATGACACATTACTGGCGAGGAAATATTGAAGTACTAGTACTTTAATTTCCGAGTCAAGTAATGTCATTTCACTGAATAGTTTTGTATTCATTACTCGAAATCGTATTTTAATATAAAATTTCAATTTTTATATATACTTGAAATCACGAATCTTTGTCCCTGCGTCATTGATTTGTGAATCAATTTCAGACATACGCTAAAACACTGTAATATCTGTCAAGTATGCGAAATCGATAAAAAACTTGTCTGAAATTGATTCACAAATCAATGACGCAGGGACAAAGATTCGTGATTTCAAAGTTTAGATCTTTTGATTAATGACCAATCTGTCAGTGATCATAAGAGTCATTATAGACATTTAGCAATGCCACAGGCGCGGCCGGTAAAGTGACGGTGCGGTCGAAAAATTAGCGAGATTCTCTTCTACTGGGGTAGCCTTTTCCTTGTTCTCAGCTTTCGGAGATTGATCTGTCGATTTATTATTCGCTAGGCTTCCACACGTGATCATGACGTAACCATGGCCCATTTTCAAACAATTGGAACAGCTGGTAGAGTCT